ACCCCCTCTCTTTTTTTTACTATATTTATATGCTTTGAGGTTTTTAAATTTGTCACTTTAATCTACTATATTATGCACATATGAAAATATTCTTTTAAATATTACCATATGTCAATCACCAGCTAGCTAATTCAAAGCTCTTTAACAAATTTGAATTCTCTCCACTACTAAAATATAGTGGAGAGGCTAATACTTTTATTGTAGCTGTTGATTTGTCCAGTGAGATCTAAACAGAACGTTGTCTATATCCATATAAATTACGGCTATTTCTTATTTCGCTCAAAGACAAATCATAATTACCAAATGATTATGATATCAACTATTGGTCTCTCAACAAGTATTTGATAGTGGAAAAGATCTGAATACTTTTTAACTTTAATGCTCGTTAAATTTGATGGTAAATCTCCTTGTTCTATTTCAAACATAAGCTTAAATGAATGTTTATGACTTGTAGAAAAAAAATTGCATAATGTTTACTCATATAAGGTCACGTGCCCACCAGCTGATCGCTTATCCGAAAACATTGTTAACTCTCAACAATCACAAGCAACGGTCTTTTTCTTCAAAGCAGCTTCTATCTTCTCTCTCTCAATCAATGAAGGAAAACAAAAACAAAACAACACACACAAAAAAAAAAACCCAATTATTTTTTACTGTAGATGATAACATCAGCATCAAACAAAGCCCACGATCTCGACTGCCATTAGTCAAGATCACTGTCTGTCTCAAGTCTCCACTCAAAAGCTTGGTAACGCTCCAAGTATTTGAACCCATCCATTATTCTTTATTTAATTAATTTTTGATTATTTTTACTGCATTTATTCTCTAAAAGCGTTATATAATGTATTGCAATTATTGTTAGTCTTCACTCCTCAAATTTCTTCCTTTTTAGCATTTTCTTCTTCTTTGGAGCTGGAGGTTTTCCAGGTAAAACTCTAGTTTTTTTGTTCTTTATTATTAATAAATTATTGTTTGGGCTGTTTATTTTGGAGTTTTGGGATCTGGGTTTTGATCTTTGGGTTCATTTCTAGAAAATTTAGTTAGTTTTAGTGGCAAAATTGTTTGCACCTGAAAATCACAGAGCTAATTTGTTAACTCTTTTGATTTAATTTGATTGTTATTATTGCATTTATTCGCTGATTATCATTTATTTATAAGCCTTATATGATGTATTGCATTTATTGTTAGTCTTAACTCCTCAAATTCATTCCTCTTTACCCTGTTGTTGTTCTTTGAAGCTCGAGGTTTTCCAGGTAAAACCCTAGGATTTTTGTTATTTGGGCTGTTTATTTTGAATTTTTGGGATCTGGGTTTTGATTTTTGGGTTCATTTCTTAAATTTTAAGTAAGTTTTAGCGGCAAAAGTGTTTGCCGCTAAAAATCTCAGAGGTAATTATACAAATTATTGTTTTTTTGGTTTAATTTTGATTATTATTATTATTGCAGTTATTTTCTATTTTTTTCATTTTTTTATATGCGTTTGATAATTATTTGCTTAAATCCGTCGCATTTATTGCCTTGTCCTCACTCCTCAAATTTCTTCCTTTTCCCCCTTTTCTCGTTGGCGTTTCAGATAAAGCCGTAAGACTTTTGTTTGTTTTGGTATTTTGGGATTTGGGTTTTGTTTTTTGCGTTCATTTCTTTTCATTTCTTTAATTTTAGTTATGTTTTAGCGACAAAGTTGCTTGCCGCTAAAAATCTCAAGAGCTGAGATCTAGGTATGAGAATTTGGGGGCATTCTTATTGCATTTTTTGCAGCTTGGGCTTGTAAGGTAAAAGCCCTAAGATTTTTGTTCTTTTTTTTTTTTTGGTTTTTTCTTTAATGTTCTGGGATCTAGTTTTGGGTTCATTTTTCTATTTTTAGTTATATTTAACCCAAAGTTGCTTGCCCCTCAAAATCTCCGGGCTGATTTCGGGTGGATGAATTTGGGAGCATTGGCTTCTTTTTCTCCTAAAGTTTTCTTTGGTTTTACTTGTAAAATAAAATGAAAATTTTGTTTTAGCTGGATACTGAATTAAGGTTAGAATTAGGATCCAGCTTTATTAACATCGTTAGGGGAAACTGGGAATTAAAAATTCAATTTCTGGGTTTTATCTTTAGGCCATCGAAGGACAACATTCATCTGAACTTTCTGCAGAATTTATTATCTATCCTTTTAAACTAATTGCCCGCAGTGTATTTGAGTGATGCATTCCCTTTCAATTTTGGAATTTGTAGAACTCCAATCGGTTAACTCTTTTTTCTTGCTTTCATTTTCTTTGATGTCTGTTTATGGCTGTGCAAGTATATTCCTTGATTAATATTGTTAACATGTTATTAGGTACTGATATTTCACTGGTTTATTTCTGTAGATCTTTAACACAATTGTTTTGTTTGCGAAATTTGAGGCAGAATGGCAGCTTATGTTGATCAAGCTTATTATGGTTGGTCACACGAGGAGCTACCTCGTCAAGAAGACTCCAGGGTAAATTTTTTGATCGAATTTTCCAGTTCATTACTCTGTTGTATTTGTTGATTTCGAACAATAGGAGATAGCCTCAACAGAACAAAACTGACTGGAAGAGTAGGATTTATGTAGCCAACCCCAAAATTTTTGGGATAAATGCATAGTTGTTGTTGGTGGTGGTGTTGTTGTTGATGATGATGATTCTTAACAATCTAGATATCTCCTGCATATATTTGATTAATTCCAGTGTCATTCTTTTGTGTTGTGAAATTGTGCATCTTGATGCCAAGTTCTAAGTTTATGCATTCTAATCATTTGGATGGTCACTATACATTGTCTAACTTTTTTAACTTAGTAAGAAATCTCATTTTTACCCCTGTTTGGTTTTTTAAACAATAATTTTATTTTCTTATTTTCCTAAGAATAGTAATTATTTGTTGTTTGCTTTTCAGGAAGCTTCCGCTTCCCAAATGCTTGATCATGGTTCAATATCCTTTGGAAGGTTTGCATATGAATCATTATCATGGGAAAGAAGATCCGTGTTCACTTATAATAAATGTCAAGAGGAGTTCGAGAAATTCAAGTCCCCTGGCTTAGTTGCTAAAAAGAAAGCATATTTTGAAGAGCATTACAAAAGAATTCGAGCTATGAAAGCTTTGCAAGGGAGCCAACAAACTGAAATAACATTGGATTATGGAGGTGATCGTAGTTTTTCAAGTCGAACCGGAGACGAAGAAGAGTCAGCAGTACAGGGAGTAGCCAATGCTGCCGCTGTTCAATCAGAAGAAGCTCCAGCTGAAGATTCAATGGAAAATGGAAAAGATTGCTGCAGATCAATTGAAGTTCAAATTGGACATTCTGATTCATCTACAAGTTACTTCGAGGAACATGAACGTGAAGAGAATGTTATCCATTCTCATCAGATGCAACACCTGGATATGGATATATCAGCACGTGAATCATTGAAAGTAAGCATCAAAGAGTCTAAACAGAAAGATCTCGTTGATCGTCACGATAAAGCAGTTTCAATGGAAAATAGGACCTTGGACACAAATACTGAAACTGAGATGGCTTCTAGAGAGACAACACCATGTCCAACAAATTCCAAAGAGGGAGATGTGGAGCTCAAACCCGCACATAATATGGTGCTGGTAAACATTATGCCAGCTGTTAGGAAATACGAAGACAATGTATCAGTTCCCACGCTGAAGGTATGACCAATTTTGAAAACTGTGTTCTTGCTATTTTGTGTTGGCTACAGTATCTGCAAAAATAAAATTGAACATGCATGCAGTTGAGTGAAGAGTATCTCTGAAGGAATTTTTTATTAGGTATTCGAGCATAAATAAAGCATGTTTTAGATATTTCACTAGCTATATAGAAATCCATTTACAGTGTAAAACGATAGCCCCATGTATAAAGACTACATGTTGGTTACTATAGTGAAAAATATTTAGCGCTGAGACTTCTATGATGAAAGATATCTACTTTTTCTATGTTTTAAGCCAAAAAGTTTCTATTATAAACATTACCTTGTTACCTAATATTTTGTACTGCATTTGATGTATACTTAAGAAGAAGCGTTATTGGCCTTTTACTTGACTTAACTATTCTAATTTTCTGTTCTTTCTAATTCTTCCTTGTCTTTTTCAGGAATCTACTGGTCCATCAAGAAATGGTCCAAAATTGGAACACAGAGCTAAACAAAAAATTAAAAAATCATCACAGGGACCAAATAATCCAATTCAAAAGATTGTGAAATCTGTGAATGGTGTCGCTTCAACCAAGGCAACTGCCAATAAATTCACAAGAAGCTACAAATCCATCTCAGCTACTTCAAAATTGGAACTTGAAGCTAAAGCAAATATTCAAAAATCATCACAGGGAACAAAACATCCAATTCCAAGACAAAACGCTGATAAAGTCTCAAGAAATTATAAAGCCACCTCTGCCTCTTCACATGGACCACTTACAGAAGTACACTCCAATGTCACTATTCCTCGTCCTTTCTCACTTGCAACTGATAGACGAGCGGCTGTTCCTTCTGGTAGTAGAGAAGATGCACACAAATCAGTCTCTAAATCCTCAAACCAAATATCATCTTCAGCAGTTAAAGGGAAATTTGAACTAAATTTTCAGGTGCACCTTATATTAATCATGCTTCTCTGACTTAATGCATCCTTTTACTATATAGTCATGCTACAATTGATCAACTTTTTTCTGTAACAGGTCCTTTTCATTTTTTTTCTCCATAATACTATCAGAATTTTTGTTTACTTTAGTATTCACACACTTGATTTCTTTTGCTTAGAGGATTACCAATCAATGTTTCTGATAAAACTAATCAGACTCTAATGTCTATGTTTTTTTTTTCCATCCACTGTTCTGAATGGGATGTCTACAGGGTACTTCAAAGCAAACCGTTACAAGCCGCATCATGAAAACCAGAGGTCTAGAAAACGAAAGGTCAGTTATTGTTGGGTTAGTTTATATTAATCATGATTATATAGATTCTTCTTCTAGATTCTTATAGTGTTTCTCTGTGTGACTGCGTCATTGCTTAACTTTAGAGGACATGATGAGAAAAATAAACCTAAGGCATCAGACAGCCGGCTCAGGGCCAGAGGCACTAACCTCGTAACCAGCAAGATGGAAAGCAGAATATTGGAAAACAGAAGGTTGGTCTTTGATTTTGCTTAGTCATGAGTGTTGTGTTCTGCAAATAGATGCTTATGGTGTTTGTTCGGTTCATTTTATTTATATTTAGAGGGCATGAAGAGAACAAGAAACTCGTGACAGTGGACTGCCAATCTAGCAGTCTTAAGGCGAGAGGTGCTAGTGCACCTGGACCGATGAAAGCAAGGTGGGTTACATTATAGATTATGATATTATAGAGTACGTACTTTACTTGATGATAAATATACCGTTTTACAAGAACTACTTGATATTTTTATGCTTATAAGTGGAGTAAATATGTTTTCATCGTTGATATCTAAATATTAAAAAAATATTTTTTTTCTCTACATCCAGGTCGCTTAACCTTCCTTCCCGTGATAAATTTAGTTCCGATAGTGGTGTTGACATTAGATTCAACAAAGGTGATGGGAGTAATGAGGTAAAATCACACAAAACTCTTCTCTTTCATTTTGTAAATGTTTACGTCAGTCATATTGCATTAATAATTTCATTACTGCTGACACTTGATTTCATTTGTGGAGCCATTTGCTTAGTTTCTGACTTTTGCCTGACACCCTACTGATGGTGTGGGGTTTAGTGTTGTAATTTTTTAAGGAAACAATTTTCCTTAAAAGTGTTAGCTAGTTTAGTCTCACATTTGATTATGTATTTGTAGCTTATTTGCGATTTGTAGCTTATTTGCGTTCTTATAAAAGTATCTGTATCTTAACATAGTATCAGTTAGTTCACTACAAACAACTAAGATTACATTATTGATGACGTAATTGCAAGATTGCTAGCTACCTAGTTGCCATTTTCATCTTTATGCTACCTTCCCCTACTCTTTAACTTGTTCATTTGTACTGTACTCATGCATTCTACATAGTTTATATCTCAGCCATAAACTTCGTGTTTGTAGATGGAATGCCTTAACAAGGGTTAGAATGGAAGTGCTCATTCTCTGAAACTGAACTTATTGAAATTCCATCAGTTTGAGATAGTATTTTAGTCAGGCAACAAACCTGAAGATCTAGGTTAATGCTGATGAGCACTATTTATGTGTCAGAATGCATGGAGATCCTTAAAATGGACCACTTTGAACTTATCATGCAGGGAAAACTCGAAGCTGGCGTGGCAAGATTTCGTCGAGCTGACACAAAAAATTTCACCTCTTCAGTTGAAAGATTCAGAAACGATACAAAAGCCTGCACCCCTTTGTCTGCAAAGGTTAGAACCGAGACGAAGAAGGTAATATAATTGATCAAAGTGTGTCCTAGTTCCCTCGCTTCTTTTACATAACAAGCTAGGACCTCGAAGAAGAAAATCTCACACGAAATATTACAGGCGACCCCATCTTCAACGAGTAATTCATCCTCTAGCACGAGGAAGACACGATTTGGTGAGCAGTCGCTTGACAGGAAGAAGCTAAGGTGCTTACCTTAACTTGCATTGAAATTATAGGCTTAATTGCATTTACACCCTCTGTACTATATGAAGTTAGTCATTTATAACCCATTGGCTATCTTTATTAGCATTTAGACCCTCTGATGCCCGAACAGAGTTTACATCCATGTGACATGCACGCATAACGGGAGATAACCAGTTTTGGAATTAGAGGGTAAATGTGATAATAGAATAGTTTAGGGTAATACGTGGCTGATCCCTACCTATAGTAGAGGGGGTTATATCTGCAATTGAACCTAAATTGTATTGTATGATGGTTCTCTCTCATCGATGTTTGTGATTTTGGTTGAGAAACAGGCAAGAGAGGCCTCGGTGGCGATAGGCACACAGAGAAGCAGCAAAATCTCATCGAACCGTCGAGCCACAGTTCATGTGAATATAGTAGCCTTCATTGGTGATAAAATCTTATGTTCATTAGTGTCGTTGTCGTATAATTTGTATCTCTTTTTCTTCGATAAACAGAGGTGCAGGAGCGGCCATATATGTAGTTTTAATGGAACTTTGTACTAATTAGAAAAAAAAAACTATGGGTATATAATGACAGTAATGATCCTTTCCCTTCTTCCAAATTATGATACACATAGATGCTCACACTTGGTTAATCAGAGAAGAGAAAATGTTTGAGCTTCCAATGTGATGTTGATGTTCTTGCCAATTATATGGGGGGAAAACATATCATTTCAAAATTTGCATAGACAGAAGGTGATGAAAATACCTGTACCTCCTTGTGTATATAGATCTTTATATATGTTCCAAACTATAAATAATTTATAGTTTGGAATTTTTAAAAATGAAATGAATGTGACAATTCATTTACCTTAATAAACAAATCAAGAGACAAAATGGAGTCCAGATCAATTTGTTAGCCACATTTGTGGATTAGTTCATTATCAGACGTTTCTTAATAGCTGTTTCTTAATACCTAGGCCCCAGCCAAGTCGCCCTTTACAAAATCTATAAAAATTCTTGTGAAAATTAACACCTTGGGGTTTTTCGCTTATAAATGCAAAGTTTACTTCCATTTCCAAAAAAAAAAAGAAAGTGCCAAATGGAATGGTCAACTTTTGAATAAGGACAAATTTTCGTTTTAGACCCTTTTAGGGATTTATTTTTAAAATGCACCCCTTTCAATTTTATTTGCAAATTTGATCCAGTTTCAGCGAGGTGGCTAAAATTGGGTCGAAATTTGCGAATAAAGTTGAAAAACTACACGAGATTTAAAATTCCGTGAAGTTATGTCCTTAATTAATTAGCGCTAATCAAAAAGCTTGGCTCAGGCTGTAAACTGCTACTAAACTTCACGGGAATTTAAATCCCGTGAAGTTTATATTAAACAAAATTCATAAAATAAGTAGTAATGTGCAATGCGTTTAGTGATTATAACATTAGTTTATAAGGCTTGGATGGGAAGCACATGGTTGTAGGCATCGAAAATTGCCTATAGGTCTCCACGAACGGTTCAGTGTTAAAGAACGACGATGAACGTCACTATCCGATCCACATGAGTCTAATCGACGTCGACGAACGACTGAAGTGAATCGACGAGCTACGTAAGCTGATAGGGTTTCGGAATAACCAAGACCCGGACCAATCGGGAACCCGGCACTGTTCACAAAAAGGACAACGCCTCTCACGCCTCGACCACTCTACAGATAATCCAATCACCAGAGCGGATCGAATTCTTCATCAAGCATCCAACGCACCCGGAATCACTCAAATCCGAGTTCGGACGAAGAATCTACGGGGAAACAATCGAATACACCTAAACGGAGTCCCGGCGTGTCGAAATACCCCGGGGGTGTCTAGGAAAAGCCTAGACACCCCAGGGGTGTCCGCACCCCTTACCTACCCCCTTGAGGCCTCAAACGCCTATAAATAGCCCCCTTGGGTGCCTTGAAGAGAGGAGGATTTTTGGAGAGCCTTGGCGAAGCCCTGCTGCAGCAAAGAGTCATCGAGCGCTTCAACCGAGGAAGAGAGGTCGGCATCAGCCTTCATCACCCTTTTCCCCCCT